CACAGGGGGTGGAGTGTGTAGGGGATGTCCTGATATGTGTGTAAGGAATGCATTGTGTGAATATGTGTTTGTATGTGTAAGGGCTGCAAGGTGTGTTTCTGTGTATATGTGCGTCTGTAAGGGGTGCATTGAGTGTGTGTACAGGGTGCATTTAGTGTGTGTAAGGAATGCATTGTGTGTTTCTGTGTGTGTAAGGTTTGCATGATTGTGCGACTGTGTGTGTGTGTGTGTGTGTGATGGATGTCAATCTCTCTCCCTCCCTTGTCACTCTCTTTCTCCCCCTCCTTTCCTCCCTTGTCACTCTCTTTCTCCCCCTCCCTCCCTTGTCACTCTCTTTCTCCCCCTCCCTCCCTTGTCACTCTCTTTCTCCCCTCCCCCCACCTCTGTTGTAGCGTGGCCGAGCTCTGTATCATGGTCCGCGGGTACAGGGAGCTTTTGTTTCCTGTACCCGGCCGGACTAAAAGGAAGTGGACACTCAGTGTGTACTTCCTGTTAGTCCGGCCAGGTACAGGAGACAGATACTCCCTGTACCCGCGGACCATGATACAGGGCTCGGCCACGCTACAGTGAGGGAGTGACAGGAGGGAGCGCTGAGTGCTCCCTCCTGTCAGCCCCTCTCCCCATGCTGCGCCCGGACGGGCAAAGCTGCAGCCGCCTGAGGCTCTCTACAGAGCGCTTGGGTGGCTGCAGCATGAGGGGGGCCGGCGGAGCTGGGGGGGATTTCCCCATAACCTGTCCCCCCCCCGCATGATTTGCTGGGGGGGATGTGTCCACCCCATCCCCCCCGGTTCCTATGCCCATGCTTTCGTACACCTTCCATTGGTACACAGAGAACCACACAAGAATATCAATACCATACTATATTTACAGATGTTCAGTCATATACCTTACCCCAGGGACCTGTATATATCATCAACTGCTCCACAAAAAGCAAGCCATTGTACGAGAAAAAGAAAGCAGACCTTTTTTAAATGTGTGCTACGCACAAAGCACTCTGGAATTCCAATATAGAACAGAACAACAAAGACCACCTGATTTGAAGAAAGATTACAAAGCCTTCATTCTTCTGCACGTCATTTCCTCAGCTCAAAGCTCAAATCTCAAACTACCATAATGTGTTAAATAAGAGTCCAAAATTGAGTAATGCAATCAGTTTGATAAAAGATGATAGGTCAATAGTAAAGCTTTGTCATCAACATGTAAAAATGTTTAATGGCAAGCTGATGTCTACTTAGCTCAGTATTTATATAAATAACTACTATATCATATAATGTATGTACATACCACCCAACCAAGGCCAGACTGGGAAAATAATTTTGCCCAGGCATTTTTAATCACATCAGCCCAGTGAGGAGTTGTATTGTGTCATCACCATTCAAACATGCCCCCCCCTGAAAATGAGTGTATTGGTTTAATGCTCCTCCAGAGCAGCCCATGCGCAGAGCACTGATGTAGAGCTCTCACACAAGAAATAAGCCCTGTGTTTGTTGTGCGCAGCGCAAGCATATTTAATTATGCTGTATTTGCTTGCGACTTGTCTCTGGTTTCTACAGAGGTGGGATGCCAGAAATCAAAAGGGCCAGGAAAGAGTATTGTGCATGTGTTTGGTGTCTGTTTGTGGGATTGCGTGAATGTAGAGTGCGTTGTTCAGTGTAAATAAGTCCATTTCAGTTGTGTCACAATGTAATATGTTTGGTTGGGGCTGATGTGTGTGTCTGTGGGCTGTAGACAATAAAAGTGTGTGTGTATAGGTGCTGTAGTGCACGTGTATA